CATGAGACAGCGTCATATCCCTTGGATCCGTGACTAACTCAACTGACTCCTTCCCGAGGGGTTACTCCTCGAAAAATGATGGTAGATGAAGAAGTTCTGGCGACTCGCCAAAAGACCACGGTCATGCCGCCGGCTTGCAGAATATCGAAAGAGATTGCCGATATTCATGCAGGTGATCCAGAAGCCCCTCGTGTCGATAATCTCGGTGCTCGAGATGTGAAGAAAACGTCCAGAGAAGAACATCAGGGCGAAGAAAGTGATATCGGAGAAGCCGACATAAGCCGCACCCCACAGCAACTGTATCGCCATTGCATGTCCAGATACACCAAGCATGTGGCATATGCTGGAATATTGATACTTTTCACAGGGTGAGTCTTTAGTACTAGCTCTTTCATCCCTCAAAGATTCGCAAGCTTACCAACTTATTATCCCCAGTTGGTGGGTCGCGGGGCTGGTCCTTCACCGCGATGACCTGGGATGGCTAATCCCATTTATCGTCTATCTGGCCATCACTCTGCGCATTATCTTTCTTTATCTTCCCATTTCTGTGCTCACCAGACCGGTCTTCTGGATCTGGAAACAGACCATCTCGCGTCTTGTAAGCTATGTGCCTCCAAGGTTTCGTATACCAGGAGCAGCGTCAATGACAATTACCGTGATCGTGATCGGGTGCTTCGTCTCTGCGGATACACCAGACAACACGCGAGCCGACAGAGCAGTCAGCCTATTCGGCCTGATCGTCTTCTTGTTTATCCTATGGCTCTTCTCTCGGGATCGCAAGAAGATTGTCTGGCATACCGTCATCGTTGGCATGTTGGTTCAATTTATCGTGGCGCTATTCGTCCTGCGGACACAGGCGGGATACGACATCTTTAACTTCATATCAACCCTAGCTCAGAAGCTACTGGGATTTGCAGAGCAAGGCGTCGATTTCCTCATCGAGACAGGCTGGGCTGAGAAACACAAAGGCTGGTTCATTGTCAGTGTCATCCCTGCGATTATGTTCTTCGTATCTCTTGTGCAGCTCCTATATCACGCTGGTATCTTACAATGGTTCGTTCGCAAATTCGCGACGTTCTTTTTCTGGTCAATGCGTGTGTCCGGGGCAGAAGTGGTTGTTGCAGCGGCCTCTCCGTTCATCGGGCAGGGGGAATCAGCCATGCTTATAAGGCCCTTTGTACCGCACCTGACCATGGCTGAAATTCATCAAATCATGACCTCTGGATTTGCCACCATCGCCGGCTCCGGTCTCATCGCATACATCGGCATGGGTGTCAATCCTCAAGCCCTTGTATCTTCCTGCGTCATGAGCATCCCCGCCTCCCTGGCAGCATCCAAGATACGCTGGCCCGAAAACGAGGAAACCCTCACAGCAGGCCATGTCACCGTACCGGAAGACGAAGAGCATCAAGCCGCAAACGCCCTTCACGCGTTTGCAAATGGCGCCTGGATGGGTATTAAGATCGCCGGCATGATCACCGCCAACCTACTCTGTATCATCTCCCTGGTCGGCCTAGCCAACGGCCTTCTCACCTGGTGGGGACGTTACTTGAATATTAACGATCCTCCTCTGACCATCCAACTCATCATGGGATATATCTGCTACCCCGTTTCCTTTCTCCTTGGGGTTTCCCGTAACGACGACCTCCTGAAAGTAGCGCAGCTAATCGGGATGAAGCTCGTCATGGTAAGCTCCTTCTGCAATACCCAGAGACCACTCCTAATAAAATGTATAACCGTTAGAACGAATTCATAGCCTACTCAGCTCTTCAGACCGACCCGCAATACCAGTCCTTATCTCCTCGATCAAGACTAATAGCCACGTACGCGCTCTGCGGATTTGCAAACATCGGCTCCCTGGGAAACCAGATCGGGGTCCTGGCACAATTGGCTCCCGAGCGGGCAGGAGATGTGTCTCGTGTGGCTGTTAGTGCAATGATAACAGGGGCCATTAGCACGCTTATGAGCGCAGCAATTGCCGGAATGATTGCTATCTAGGAAGTCGGTAATAGTATATCTGGCTCGCTGTCGAAATGACCGTTCAATGTGTGTGCGTGTGTAGTTGGGCTGAGTATCGCATAGCAACTGCTCTTTTAGAGCAAAGACGGAAAAAAGTGAATTCGAACTGCTAGTTCTTCATAATGTCTGTTTGCGTACGAAGTACTCGACGTAAGAGAAATGATCTTAAAGGGCTTCGACAAGTCCGGAAGACGCTGCCGCTCTTCTCCCGCTTTAGGAAGGTACGGATGCTCTCTCTCCCTTAACGGTCTGTGAGTGATGGATGGGATAACACTGTGTAACATAGCATATTTATGGGATTATGAGAGGATATATAGAGCACATAGCTATTCATCTAGCGTTGTAGAGTATATAACGTTGTAGCTATGTAGTACTATATGTGTACCTTGTGGCACTAAGTACTATCTAGGAAAGTAACATCGGACTGATTGGGATGGGGCGGGAGCGATAAATTGTGGGTTGTTTATTTGTTTATTTACCAGTAGTTGCTCTGCTTGCTTGGAAGGACACTGATTCATAGTAGATATTGCACGTATTATAATAGCCTTGGCTAATGTGGATATATTGACGGTGGGGTTGAGATCGACTGCCATGCTCTTCATCCTGGCGATGAAAATAGTATATCCTATGTATCCTGCTACTATGCTTGAATATACAAAGTTAACACTTATATTCGTCAAAAGATACAATGGAAGCTACCTCTTTGTTCCGTGACTGCCTACGTAATAGCTACCAACGAACCCAACATCATGTGCAGGTAAAAATAAGAACGAATGTAAAAAGCAAAGCAGGGTATTTATCCCGGGACACGCGGGCTCCTGTATTTCCATTCCAATTGTGGCCCCAAACGAAAATTCCCCGAACGCATAAACTCCTGAAAATCATCGGTGCTGAAATCATGACTCCTGGCTCCGTCGATGTCACGACCAAGACCAGGATGCACCATGCAACCGTTGCCCCCAATGAAACGCACAGACCCCGATCTCATGCAATGCAAGTCGGTCCGTCCCATGTCTGCGGGAACAACCGAACGGACGACGACGATTATAGACGAACCATTTACTCGATGTCTTCGATGTCGCGGTGCCGGGCCATAACGTGTTTCTTGTATTCTTCTTGATCGGTATCCCAGAGTTCAGCGGCTTGGGCGTTGAGAGGGCTTGCGCTAATTATTGGTTAGCATGAATGGTCGCAAACGTTGCGATGTGAATTCGTCTCACTTGTTAGGTTCACCCAGCAAGCTCTGCAAACTGAGGAGAACACTCTGCACGTTGTAGACGGCACTCCACTTGTCCTTCAGGATGTCCAGACAGATGCGGCCGGAGAAGTCGACATTGGGGTGGTAGATGGGGGTTTTGAACAGAACGGTAGGGGGAGCGTAAGGGTAGTTGTTGGGAAAGGCAAAGGAAAGACGGAAAGTGAGTCCTTCGTAAGGAGTTTCGGCCGGTCCGCTAATGGTGGCAGTCCAGGAGAGGAGGTTGCCATCGGCGTCAGGGAAGGCCGAGATTCCCGGAGAGGGGGAAAGCATCAGCTGCATCAGCTCGGCTTGGAGGCTGGCGAGATAGAATGATAATCAGTATGCAAGATTCCAGAGGAAATCCGAGGGATTTGGAGGCTGCATTCAGCATCATTGTACGAACCGCTTAGTGACGCTCTGAATGTCGGTTCTCTGGGTTGACGAGTTGAGCTTGGACGCCTCATGGGCGTCAGGGGCCGAATTCTGTGTGTCTTCCATACTGTAGTCCATTCTGAAGGAGAGCAAAGAAATCGGGGGGCTGTAGCGGAAACAACGGTCGGTTTAAGAGGAAGAGACGATGACGAGAGTTTCCGGGATGGGAGGAATGTCAGGTAGAGTTAAACGGACCGTCGTAATCGGTAGGAAGAGAAAGGAAGAGGAAGAAGAAGAGGGTTGTCTGGAATGACGCTGGCTCCGAATGCAGCGGGACAGTTGGCTGGAGGGGAAGCGGATTGACCCACCCGATGAATCCCCGGATGCTGTGAACTCAGAACAAGCCTTGATGGAACGTTGAGCGAAAAGGTGGAGGAGTGGAAAATGTTGTCTACCAGGGTCACTCAAGTAGTCAAGCTCACTAAGTCTAGAAAGATAGAAAGCAGGGGAAAAGGATACGGTGGGTAAAAGGCCGGTTGACAATAATGGAGGGGGATCGGTCTTTCATTGTTTACTCGGCCATCCGCCCGGCAACGCCGCCGCCATCTGATTCTTTGGGGCTCCACCAGATGACCGGTCCAGATCATCTTCAACCGTCACACTTTGGAAGTTATCGTGAGTCGTTAGTCATTTTGTCATCAAGAAACTCAGTTCCCTGGTGGTCCTCCCATGATGGGTCTAAGGCTCTTGTGAGAAGGAGCCAGGTGAAGAATTATTATTCTAAAAATTTCTCACATCCTTCTTCTCAGCCAAGCACTGGTCAGTGTCTACAGCAAGTTCATACAAAGTGATTGTGGTGTCTTTTCGGTGCGACGCCGGATCTTTCCCCTCCAGTTGGGCTTCATTATTGGCTGCTGCGGGTCCAAATCGAGCCAGCCAAAGCAGCATGGCCAGTGTGTTAAGTAGGAGGTAGATCAGGCGGTCAATTAGTCGATATAATGCTCGTAGCTGCATCTCTCCTGTTCTTCGCATTTCTCAGTCAAGTCCAAAAATTTCAACTAATCTCTTATGTTACTGCTCCTTGACTCCATCTCTCTGTCGAAACTCGAAATATCCCCCTTCCTCCCCATCATGTTGGGTCCGCTAAAGGCTGCGCCAGGCAGCCGATCAACAGATTACCCAAAGAGGATAAAGTGGCTCTCGCGTTCCGCCCAGCGCGTTCTCTTCAGCTTCGTTCTCCTTCCATCGCCCTTGCATTGATACTCGCCACCATCACACGATCATGGCTCACTATTAACTTCCTACTAATGACACGATCTGGAAATTTCAGTTGATCTGTCATATTTTTGTCGTCTCGTGAATCTTCGTCAACATGCATCACTCTCAGCTGGCCCCGCTGCCAAATGACTTGCCGTTTCGCATCGTTTCCAAAACAATTGGTCAGGGTGCTTACGCTTGGTATGATTGACTTTGTCGATTGAAATCTGCTGCTCGAAATACAGGATATCTGCTGACGGAAATTTACGGGCCAGCATCAAGAAGGCCGTCCCCATCTACACAGACAATCCCGTTTTCGCAGTCAAGTTCATCCACAAAGAGTACGCCGCCCGCCATGGAAAGGTTAGCCCGCGTCAGCTACAAATGGAGGCGACAGTTCACAAACATATTGGGGATCATAACAATATAATATCATTCTTCCAAACTGGGGAAGATGACATTTGGCGTTGGATTGCGATGGAGTTGGCCGAGGGTGGCGATTTGTTCGACAAGATCGAGGCCGACGAGGGTGTTGGCGAGGACATTGCGCATGTATACTTCTCGCAACTCATAAGTGCCGTGGGATATATGCATTCGAAGGGCGTGGGCCATCGCGACATCAAGCCGGAGAATATGCTCTTGACAGCTGACGGAAACTTGAAAATCGCAGATTTTGGGCTAGCCACGTTGTTCGAGTATAAGGGCGTGACGAAGTTATCTACAACTTTTTGTGGGAGTCCTCCCTATATTGCACCCGAGGTAATATCTTGCAGCAGCAAACATACGATGAAAGGCGCAGGATATCGGCCGGACCTGGTGGACATCTGGTCCTGCGGAATCGTCTTGTTTGTCCTTTTGGCTGGAAATACCCCGTGGGATAGTCCAACAGAGACCAGTTACGAATTCCAGGAATACCTTGCAACGAATGGACGCACATCTGATGAGCTTTGGCAGCAATTGCCTATAGAGACTCTTTCGCTACTGCGTGGAATGCTGAACATCGACCCCTCTAACCGCTTTTCCTTGGAGGACGTCCGGAGACATCCCTGGTATACCCGACCGAACAAATATTTGTCCCGAAACGGCACATTAAGGGATCCGATCAACTTAGCTACAACCATGTTCGAGTCACTCCATATCGACTTTTCCCAAGATCCCTTCGCTCAACCCCAGGGGGGTAGTTTTGGCGGCGGTCGGATGGATATAGATCTGGGTGATGGCATTGATGCCGAACAAAGGATATCTTCAACGCAGCCGGAGATGCCGAGAACTGATATGCTGGTCGACTGGGATACTCCCCAATTGGCGGATGCGTTCTCATCAACACAACCCATGGGGCGACCGTTTTCTGCCGACGACATGTCGGCCCTCGATCATCTAGAGGATGAACCGTCCATGTCACAGTTTTCGCCTCATCCGTCCGTACCGCTGAGTCGGACGCAGAAAGCACAGCGATTCCATGACATCGTGCCTTCTCGTCCTATGACACGATTCTTCTCTACGTGGGAGCTTAAGATCCTAGTTCCTCTCATCTGCGAGGCTTTGCATCGTCTAGGGGTTCCGGTTCCTGCGGTTCCCGCCGTTTCCGCAGGGGACACTTCCGCAATGCTTCGTATCGTGACTCGGGATGGGAGGATGTGCAGTCTCCAAGGTAAGGTTTTGATCGAATGTGTCTCCGAGGGCCTTTTCGAGATCGAGTTCATGAAGGTGAAGGGCGATCCGCTGGAATGGCGGCGTTTCTTCAAGAAGGTGGCCGTGCTTTGCAAGGACGCCGTCTACAAGCCTGACTATTAGAATAAAGCCAGGATACGTCCTTATGCATCTCGACCAGGCATCTATAATTCTGCTGTTTTGCTTGGCTTCATGTCTGACGGTTAATGTACGAGTAATGCCATCTATAACGATTGGGTAAGGAACGGGTAGGGAAGGAAAAGGGTTTGGCTGGTCATCAGGTCCTCGCTATTAGCTGATATTAGTATTTCGAACTCAAATGATTTTAAGAAAATGGAAGACCTTCGGAAAATTCAAGAATCATCAAGAATCCGTGCGGTGTAACTTTGCTATATATAGGACTAGTAACCCGCCTATGATAGCGCTGGAATGTAGTATCCGGCATTCCAAATGCAACAAGAGCTTTTAGGTTACAGAGCAGAATTATTCACTTGAACTTCTAGACCAACCTACGTAAGCCACATCAGCCTTTTTATATGCCTTAGCAAATTTTTTCAGATACAGGTGAAGTTGATCGGCGATGCCAGGCTGAGCTGTTGCTTGTCGGCCTGCGCATCCCCCACGTGACGACGGTCTAGATTGCGGATTGTGGGGGGATAAAATGGAGCTTCATCCCCAAGAAACAGTTATGGCCTTTGCTTACACCCTCCGTCGCACGAGCTAGATGAGTCAGTCCTGTTGGCCCTCAATGGTTCTCTTTTCCCAGTCTCACCCATGGAGAAACTCCCCGTAGAGATCCTCTGCGAGATTATTGACTGTACGCTGTTTGCCCCCATTTCTTTCAGGGTCCAGGTTACCCCACATCACCGGTTTCATGCCATGTGCTAGACCTTCATTAGCATTAGCTGACGCACCCTTAGATCTCACCCCACACGAGCGGGTACAACTTCAGTCCGTCTCGAGGCGGCTATTCTCCGTGGCCCGGGATAACAATCTCTGGAGACTCCACTGCTTCGAAGAGTCATGGAGCGCTTCCGGAGCCTTGCGTTCCGCTGCCAACAAGACTTCCGAGAGCCTAGTCACTAACTCCACCGCTTCCCTCAGCTCATTAGGCCAGACTTCGCTTCGATCGCTCATACAACCAGGCGCGTCTGGGCTCCGAGACGGTAAAACAAGCGGCTTGGATCAAACACCGTCCTATGGGCAGAGATCCAGAGCAGCGGCGTCGTGGGACCCGTCTTACGAAGGGGAAGAGGTGAACTGGTACTCGGAGTACATTGCTCGAAATGGCCCGATCTCGCTTAGCTGGATGCAGCAACCCTTCACCAGGGCATCACAGGGTGGGAGAAGGGAATACCGTGAGGTCAAAGGAATGGGACTGCTTCGAGACTGGAGTACTGCTCGACAGAACAAAGTTGTTGCGCCCCTTGATGACGGCAGTGTCTGCATTTGGGATCTTAATCACTCGCACTCTATTGGATCCCAGAGCACCAAGGGTAAGATTCTTGGGGTCAGCTCGCCGGGGATCTTGATGGCAAACCGGTTTGGAAGACGAGATAACTCGGGAGCAAAGCAAGCCTTGGAATTCGTGAATCTCGGAGAATGTGTCAGCGTAGACTCTATGCGTCGGAGGGCCTACCTGGCTGTCGGGAATATTCTAAACGAGGTAGATCTCGAAAGTCTCACTGTTATTTCCCAACAACGCTTTCCTTGGTCCGTTTTTGCCTTGTCCCAGGAGACAGATTATTCTGTACCGTTGACAGCGGCTACCACTCTGAGTCTTCACATCTACGATGGCAGAATGTCGGCGACGGAGGAGCAAGAGGCGATCACTCTACGCTGTGAGGAGCCGACCGTTTCGCTAGTCCCCAAATCCAAGATCTATTCTCCTCCAGATTCACCCCTTTTGCAACTACAACCAAACGGACGACCCCCGCACCGGATACGAAGCCCTGATCTCTCAAAGAACAGTGACAACTATGCACCCTTATTCCAACCAGGACCTCTCTCGCTTCTACACCCTCCCGCGCCGCACGTGAATTCGATCTTCCTCGCCGGCCGTTTTCCAAGCATCTTACAGTATGACCGCCGCTTTTTCCCACGGCTTCAAAACACAATTCATTCCGGTGGCCAACTCTGCGGTCTTGCTGCTGTTCCTGCGCCGCGATTCCCTGTCTCTCCCAACTCTGAGTTCCCCGCCTCCCACAAGTTGGTAGCGTGCGGTGACTACAAAGGGCGGGGCTCTCTTGAACTTTACAACCTCACGCCCTCCAACACTAACGCCAAGAGCGATCCATCGGGCTGCTCGTCCAACCTGTCTACAGTGTACCAAAATCGGCAGAGTGTCGCTAGATCCAAGGTGCTCTCGGTCGAATCACACGGAACCCGAATTGTCTACTCCGATGCAGACGGCAATATCAAATGGGTTGAGCGTGATGGACGTTCCGAAGTTCGCCGCCTGAACATTAATTCATACCAACCGCAGCGAAGATACTACCCACAGCGCAATGGGGAGACGTCCACTCATTCGGGAAGCAACGCTAATGCTAATGGTGAAGAGGAAGACCAGACATTCGGATTATGGGGTAGCCTATCGCGGTCTCGCAGCGAGGGCGAAGTCGCACGAAAGGTTCTCCCGACCGGCGGCAGCCTGACAGGCGATGAACTACTTGTCTGGACAGGAGAACACATTGGACGCGTCCATTTCTCCAATCTCCCGGACATGGGTCCAGATTCGGATGAAGAAGATGACGCTATATCTGTTGATGGGCATGTTGGAGAAGCGGAGCGTGAAGAGCGACGGAACAAACGGCGAGAGCTACGCCGGCGGGAAGAAGAATATGCCACTATGATGCGGAAGGCACTGGAGAGGCAGGCCGATGAAGTGAGGCGGATGGGGGGCCTGGGGCTGTGATTTGAGGATGATGTTTCTTTCCAAAATAGATGAAGCGCATTTGATAAACGCATGCTTGTCTTTTCACGATCCGCACGTACCCCTTCATGCATGATTCGTTGGTCTGGTTGACTACACCTCCAGTTCGGGCTTGATGTTATGGTAGCGATACCCTTGTGCTTAGATATAGAAACTGCGAGTGACTCTTTTAGATCAAATAGACAAGATTACACTTTGTCTTCTGTCCACTTGCCCCTTACGCTTGTCCGAGGAATTGCCGGGTGCGGCGAGAATCTCAACGGCCTCGGCCTGCCGCGATGACTGGCTTCTGACAAACCATTAGTGATCCCCCACGGGTTTTGCCTTTCCTTCGTATTCTTTCGGTCTCTTTGAAGGGCTCCGCTTCTGCTTCTTTGCTTCTAGTTACAAATAATTTCTCCCATTTCCTATACACAGCTTTTTCAATTACCTCATTTCAAAAGTAAGGGAGAAATTCCGTTCCCTCTGTCCTCCCCTCCCCGCCTTCTCCGAATCCGAGCCTCCGAGTTTCCGCCCCGGAGATACAGTCATCCCACTCAAGATTGTTACAGAATCGCAATTGCACAGCATACCCTACGCAATTGTTATAAGCCATTGAGTTTCGCACTCAGACTGGGTTCAATTCTCGGACATAATTATCAATTTCAATTCAACCAGTCTTCCCATTTCACCAGAGGAATCAGTTACCCTCAAGGTAGCATTTAGCCATTCCCTCAGCCCCGCCTCCAATTCCGCAAAGCAACGAGGGGCACATTTCTCCAAGACAACCACCTTCCTCATACAAGACAACCAACCCGAAAATACCAGCCAACATGCATTCCCCTTTGGATCCAACCCTTCAATTCGACTCTATTGAGGACACAATAGCGGCCTTTAGTGAGTCCCCCAGCTCCAGAACTTCCCACCCGCGCCGGCGCGGGAGGCAAATCCATCCCACCACATTCATTACACATACAAACAACATCCATGTAACTAACAAGCACACCAATGCACCAGAGAACGGCGAATTCATCATCGTGCTCGATTCCCAAGACCGCGAAAATGAAGGCGATCTCATCATTGCCGCTGACTCCATCACTCCGGCGCAGATGGCTTTCCTTGTTCGCCACACAAGGTAAATCCCCCATTTCCCCCACCTCCTTTCCCCACGAGCACATCAAATGTTACTTAACGGGATCACCAATGCTAATGATGGATGAATAGTGGCCTGATATGCGCCCCCGTCACCCCCGAAATAGCCACCCGCCTCGCCCTCCCTCAAATGGTCACCGAGAACGCTGATCCTAAGGGAACCGCGTACACCGTCTCCGTCGACGCAGCTGACCCCTCTATAACAACTGGTATCTCGGCACAAGACCGCGCTCTTGCCTGTAGGATCCTGGGATCGCCGACATCCACGGCAGCGGATCTGCGCCGACCCGGTCATGTAATTCCGCTACAGGCCAGACCCGGAGGTGTCAGGGAACGCACGGGACATACAGAGGCGGCAGTGGAGTTCTGTCGGTTGGCGGGCAAGACGCAGGCGGGTGTCATCGCGGAACTTGTGGAGGATGGAGAGGTCGTACCGGGAGTTCCAGAAATTGGGGGTAACAATGGGATGATGAGACGGGATGGATGCTTGAGGTTTGGAAAGAAGTGGGGGATCAAGGTATGTACGATTGAGGATTTGGTGGAGTATGTTGAGAGGGTGGAGGGTGCTGGCGCTGTGAATGGGAACTGAGTGAGTGTTGACTTGTTCCTTTTTATCTGGTTTTCTTTTCTTCATCGCCTCTCTTGCATATCTTTCTCTTCGATTTTGTGCTGTGCTTCTTGGGGCATTCTAAACCTGCGTGCTTTCTGCTGTTTTGATACATACCTTTTGTTCTCGCTATTTTTTATGATTTACCTCATGGGATCGGACGGGACTCATTGCATTAAGGGGGAAGATAACTCGAAAACTGGATGGATGTATATAGATCACCAGCTGGAGGGTGGACGGCTGGAGGGATGTTGGCTTCGTCAACAGAGTTAGCTTTTGAATCAGATGTGAAACAGATGTATACATATGTTGAAAATTAGAGATGATCACTCCTTCCTGTTATCATAATAGATCACTTAGTCTAGTCTGATTTCTGCGACTAAGAGACTGGACAAGCTTCTATAACCATTTAATTATCCGGGTATCGATTTTGCTAATATAATTGTACAGGTAACCATAGAACAACCTCATGTCTAATACCCCTACAAACGCCAATATAATGCAATGTAAGCCCCAAGAAAACACCCAAAAGACGGTGGCACACTTTTCGGAACCAGGGGGCGGCGCAACGAAGCACTACCGTTTGAGGTGCGAATAATCCCTCAAAACGCCCATCATGTGAGTATTGGTAGTCTTCCCACTCCGTCGTGGCTTCTTCACCTTCTTGTTCTCAATCTTTGGCCGGGCCTTGACAACCTTGTTCTTGTTGGTAGGTGTGATACCCGCCTTTTCCAGCTCTTCCTTAACAGCTTGCTGATCAGGAACCTTGATCTTCTCCCAGATCTGACGAAACTCAGGATCAAAATGCTGGATCAAGGATGGATCATTGGCCCAAACCATCTTGGCATGATCGTCCTTCTTGTTCCGAGTTACAAGCAGCTTGCCTTCCTTCTCGAGCTTGTTGATCGTGTCCTCCACATTTGGCCAACCCTCCCGAAGTTCACGTACGCTCATCCCCGCACCGGTCGACTGGGACTGGAGTTTCTGGAGGAGCTGTTCGGCGGTACGGATGTTGTGCGGGGGACGGAAGCTGAAAGTGCCTTCGCCGTTTGCGCCGCTGGGATCGTACTGGACCTTCTCGTGCATCTGCAGAATGCTCCGGAGTGCCTGAACATAGCCTTGGTCGTTGGCCCGATGTTGAAGGGACAGGTACGAGACGATATCGGCAAACTTGAGCGGAACTCCCTTGGACTTCATGTGCTCGATTGCAAAGACAACCTGCGTCATGATATCCTTTCCTGTGCCGGTGTTGGCGGGCTGCGAGTAAACAATATCTGCATCGTGCCGTTTGCGTCTCGCATCGTCGCTTGGAGTAGGTGTAGACGTAGAGGAGGGGAGCTGGGAACTGCTCGCTGAGTTGGTGTTGTGCACGAAACGACGCTGCTGGGGCATTCGGGCTGCATAGTCCATAACACCAGCGTTGAAGCTCTTCAGCTGCTGTTGAAGATGCGACATGTTGGCGGTGGTAAGGCTGCGCCTAGATCACACCTGAGAGAGAGAGACGTAGAACGAAGGTCAAGGCCAAGGGGGGCAGTGAAGCCAAATTGAGGCAAGGCCTCGCTTTGTGAGAGCACAAAGGAGCTCTGGTAAAAGCTGTGTTATATCATATGAGAACAGAGAGAAATGGGCCAACCCCGAGGGACAATCCCTAGATCAAAACTACCTCACAGACGAGGTAAATCGAGACAGTGGGGATGTGGGGAGAGAAAGAGAAGGAAGAAGGTCGTCATCGCCGCCTTGAGACTTTGCGATGCAGCCGTGCCGGCCTGAGGCGGCAATTTATCACGTGACTATTGACATGCGCTAACCGTTTCGAGAGCTCCGCCCAGCCATGAGCCTCTCGTTCGTTACATCTCATCGCGTAACGGGGCCCTGTTCATCTTCTCCCCTTCACTGGTGTCCATTCCATCATTCCCAGCGCTTTTCCATGGCTTAGTCTGCTACCTGGAAGCTGTGCGCTCTCGCTAACGGGAATATCTTTTCAACGCGCAGCAGACCCATTCCGATTCACCTCCTGTGGCTTGTTCCGTCACTTCATCCATTGTTTGTCGTCATATAGAATTACCCTTCATTTGCTAGCAGCTATCGCTGCGGACAGCCCATGGTAATCATGGCTGCTGCTACGATTGAGTTACCGTTTATTTCGTCGCACTACGCCATTGCCGAGTCGACATTGAGCACCCTCACCACAGCTCCTACGGTCGAGCTAGTCAACCAGCTCTTGGAAGCTATCACTACGAAAGCACGCGAGCATGACGAGCTCAAGTCTGACAAGATACGCCTCGAGGTGGAACTCGATAATGCCGTTCGCTCCAGAGACAACAAAATCAAGGTTCTGAAGAGCTCGGTCGAGAAAGGTCATGCCGAAGTCGAGGAAACAAGGAAGAAACTTCACGAGTCCGGTTAGTTCCTATGCGGACCCGCCAATACGCGTCTACTTACGCTCTGCAGAAAACACTCGTTCTACCCTGGAATCCGAGATCGCTACACTCAAGTCGTCCTCCACGTCAAACGAGTCTGAAGCCAGCTCATTGAAGTCTCGTATCTCGTCGCTCGAAGCTTCTAACAGAGACACTCTCTCACTCCTCGAATCCAAGTCCGCAGCATATGACAAGCTTGCCGAGGAGCTCTCAACACAACACAAGAAGACAATCGAATTGAGACGCGAACTTTCCACCGCCGAGCAGAACCTCCAAGCCGCCAACTCTGCTTCCGCCAGCGCTAAGTTCCGTGAGCAGAGTCTCCAGCAGGATTTGGAATTGACAAAGAAAAACAACGAGTGGTTCGAGACGGAATTGAAGACCAAGTCCGCCGAATATCTGAAATTTCGCAAGGAGAAGAGCGCCCGGATTTCGGAGCTTCAGCGTGAAAACGAGGAGATCAGTGCAAACGTTGACTCCTTGAGACGAAGCGAGAATGCCCTTAAGAGCCGCCTGGATGAGGTGGAACAGCGTTATGAAGAGGCTCTTTCCAGCATCAACCAGCTCAGAGAAGACGCTATCAAGGCGACCGAGTCGTTCAGAATCGAATTGGACAGTGCAAGTAGACTAGCCGAGTTGCAGTCGAATGCTGCAGAGACTTCGAAGCAGCGTGCCAAGGAATGTCAACTCGCTCTGGATAAAGCAAGGGAAGATGCTGCGGAGCAGATTTCCCGACTCCGAGTGGAGATTGAAACCGAACATGCCGACAAAGAAGCTGCTGAACGCCGCGTTGCTGAGCTTGAGCTCACGGTCAGCCAGCTCGAATCCGATGGTTTTGCTGGAAGAAGATCCATGAGCCCTGCACTGAATGGCGCAGGGCCCAGCACCCCAATGCGTCCCAGTACCCCAGTTGGCGCGTTTTCACCTAGAGCGTCGCGCGGAAAGGGAGGACTCACACTGACGCAGATGTATACCGAGTACGACAAGATGAGAACTTCGCTGGCCATGGAGCAAAAAACAAACCAAGAACTTCGAGCAACTCTAGACGAGATGGTCCAAGATCTCGAGGCCAGCAAGCCTGAAATCGATGAGCTGCGTGCGGACCACGGTAGACTTGAAAATGCTGTTGTTGAGATGTCTAACATACTGGAAACTGCTGGGAAGGAACGAGACGATGCAACTAAGGAGGCAAGAAAGTGGCAAGGCCAGGTGGAGGGATTGGCCCGGGAGGGAGACATTTTGCGCCAGCAACTCAGAGACCTGAGCTCCCAGATTAAGGTCTTGGTTTTGGAAAATGCAATTCTGAAGGAAGGCGAAACAACGTACGATAGAGAGGAACTCGAGAAGATTGCGCGCCAGGAGATCGATGACTCCTCTGCTGATCTCAACCCAACCGGACGGTTCATCAGTCGCAATCTGATGACGTTCAAGGATCTCCACGAGCTCCAAGAGCAGAATGTCACTCTCCGTCGTATGCTGAGAGAGCTTGGGGATAAGATGGAGGGTGCAGAAGCTCGCGAGCAGGATGCCATCCGTCAACAAGAGCAAGAAGAGTTGAAGGACCTGAGAATCCGGGTGCAGACTTACCGTGACGAGATCGCTAACCTCGTCGCTCAAACAAAGAGCTATGTTAAGGAGAGAGATACGTTCCGGAGCATGCTTACCCGCCGCCGTCAGACTGTTGGCGATGCTTCTGTCTTCTCCCAATCTCTTCCTCTGGGCGCAGCTCCTCCCGCTTCTGAAGAGCCAGCCAAGGATGTTCCAGACTACGCTGATCTGTTGCGCAAGGTGCAGGCACACTTCGACAGCTTCCGCGAGGAGTCCGCCACCGACCATGCAGCTTTGAAGCAACAGGTCAATGAGTTGTCCAGGAAGAACAGTGAATTGATGAGCGAAATTAGCCGCTCTAGCAGTCAGCTTGTTGCCGCCACACAGAGAGCGGAGCTTCTTCAGGGTAACTTCGATATGCTCAAGAACGAAAACGCAGAAATGCAGAAACGCTACGCTACCCTCCTGGAGAACGCTAACCGGCAGGATATCAGGACTCAGCAAGCTGCCGAAGATCTGGTGGAGACGAAGGGCCTCGTTGAGAGCCTTCAACGGGAAAATGCCAACCTCAAGGCAGAAAAGGATCTCTGGAAGAATATCGAGAAGAGACTCATCGAGGATAACGAGACACTACGTAACGAGAGAGGTCGACTTGATTCTCTTAACGCGAACCTCCAAACCATTCTCAATGAGCGGGAACATACCGATGCTGAGAGTCGCCGTCGTTTGCAAAGCAGTGTGGAGTCTCTCGAATCGGAGCTTCAATCCACCAAGCGGAAGCTTAACGATGAGGTTGAGGAAGGAAAGAAGGCATCGCTGCGTAGGGAATACGAACATGAGCAAAGTCAGAAGCGAATTGACGACTTGGTGACGAGCTTGGGCGCAGCTCGGGAGGAGTTAGTGGCTGCGAAGACGACAAGAGATCACTTGCAATCGAGAGTCGATGAACTCACTGTCGAGCTGCGTAGCGCCGAACAGCGCCTCCAGGTCGTGCAGACTAAGCCCAGTGTGTCTGCTGCTCCTACTGAAGCGCCTGCGGTTCCGGAGGAAGGCCAGGAGAGTGGCCTGACACGCGAGCAGGAACTTGGTATTGAAGTTTCCGAGCTCCGTCGTGATTTGGAGTTGACAAAGAATGAGCTTCAGCACGCTGAAGAGCGGGTGGAGGATTATAAGGCTATCAGTCAGCAGAGCGAAGAGCGTCTGCAGTCTGTCACTGAGACCCAGGAACAGTATCGGGAGGAAACGGAGCGTCTCATCGAAGAGAAGGATAAGAAGATTCAGGACCTCGAAAAGCGCATCGAAGAAATTTCCGCCGAGCTTTCGACTACGAACGGCGAACTTACCAAATTGCGTGACGAGCAAGGGGAGGCTAGCCGACATTTGGAGGAGCAGAAGGCCGCGCTGGAAGCAGAGATCACAAGGCTGAAGGACGAGAATGAAAGGCAGATCGCTTCTGCCCAATTCCACCAGGAAGATCTCAAGGCACAAGCTGAAATCGCGCAGCATGCCCAGCAGAACTATGAGAGCGAACTGCTCAAGCATGCTGAAGCCGCGAAGAATCTACAATTGGTCCGGTCCGAAGCTAACCAGTTGAAGCTGGAAGTTGTCGAACTGCGGACACAGGCCGACACTTTCAAGAAGGACCTTGCTCAGAAGGAGGAAAGCTGGACCGAGATCAAGGATAGGTATGAGAGCGAGCTTACGGAACTGCAAAAGCGCCGCGAGGAAGTTCTCCACCAGAACTCTTTGTTGCATACCCAACTCGAGAATATTACAAACCAGATCGCAGCCCTCCAGCGTGACCGGGCTAACATTCCTGAGGGAGATGAGGACGGAGAGGCCGGCGCGCCCAACCTCGAAGGCCTCCAGGAGGTGATCAAGTTCCTGCGTCGGGAGAAGGAGATCGTTGATGTGCAGTACCATCTGTCAACCCAGGAAAGCAAGCGTCTTCGTCAGCAACTCGACTACACTCAGACCCAGCTTGACGAGGCCCGGCTTAAGCTCGAGCAGCAGCGTCGCGCGGCTGCCGACAGTGAACATAGCGCCCTCAGCCACAACAAGCTGATGGAGACCCTGAACGAACTGAATCTGTTCCGCGAGAGTAGTGTTACGCTGCGTAACCAGGTTAAGCAGGCGGAAACCTCACTTGCGGAGAAGTCCTCTCGCATCGAAGAACTTGTTCAGCAAATACAGCCGCTAGAGACTAGAATCAGGGAACTGGAGAACACTGTAGAGACAAAGGATGGAGAGCTGAAGTTGCTACAGGATGATAGGGACCGGTGGCAGCAACGTACGCAGAATATCCTGCAGAAGTACGACCGGGTAGATCCCGCGGAAATGGAAGGTCTGAAGGAGAAGCTCGAGACTTTGGAAAAGGAGCGGGATGAGGCCATTGCTGCCCGGGACACTCTACAGACCCAGGCTGCTGCTTTCCCAGAACAGCTGAAGCATGCGGAGGATCGCGTGCAAGAACTGCGCACGAAGCTCACGGACCAATTCAAGGCTCGGTCCAAGGAGTTGACTGGCCGTATAAACGCTAAACAGGTGGAGCTCAACACGGTTATGCAGGAGAAGGAAGTCATTCAAGAAGAACTCAAGACGACTCGGGAGGAATTGAATGAGCTGAAGACGAAGATGGCCGAGAAACCCGCAGCTCCTGCTGCCCCAGCTGTTGAAGGAGCTACTGGTGTTGACTCAACGCCTGCCTCTCAGTTCCCTGCGCCAACAACGCAGCCGCCTGCCGCTTCTGACGATCAACGCGTGAAGGCTCTGGAAGAGAAGGTGCAGCGCCTCGAGGCAGCTCTTGCGGAGAAGGAGACGGCGTTGACCGCGAAGGAAACGGAGCACGAGGCGAAGATCAAGGAGCGGTCCGACAAGCTGAAGGAGATGTTCAACAGTAAGCTGGCTGAGATTCGAGCTGCGCACCGGCAAGAAGTTGAGCGGTTGAAATCCAGTCAACCAGCCGCTCCTCAAGAACCTGGAACCCCAGCTCCCAAACCCGAGCAGGTGCCAGCAACGCCGGCGACTCCTGCGGCTGCTCCTGCGACACCCTCCAAGGACACTGGGCTGCCTGAACTGACAGATGCGCAAGCCAGGGAGCTCGTTGCCAAGAACGAGACGATTCGTAACATCATTCGGAGCAACATCCGCACCCAGGTGGCTAAGCAAAAGGAATCCGACAAGCAGGAAAGCCAGGCCAACCAGGAGGCTATGAGCACACTGGAGCAGAAGTTTAACGAAGAGAGAGAAGCGTTGAAGAAGGCCCACGAAGAGGGTGTGGAGGAGAAGATCAAGGCTGCTGTCGAGTTGTCGGACAAGAAATCACTGGCGAAACTAAGCATGCTGGACACCCGGTACCGGACAGCCCAGGCCAAGATCGATGTGGTTCAGAAGGCTGCTACGGAGACGCCTCAGAAGCCTGTTGTCGAAGTCTGGGAGGTCGCAAAGACCACTAGAGCGCCTCCAGCGGCGCAGGCCAAGCCCGCCCAGGTGGCATCTCCTGCGCCTGCACCGTCTCCCGCGCCCGCTGCGGCCCAGGCAACACCGGTGGTGCCATCGCCGTCGCCTGCCCCAACGGCTACTCCTGCGGCCACACCCGCAGCTACGCCTGCAGCTGCACCCCAGGCCCAGCCTGTGGAGCCTGCAGCAGCATCCACAGCCGAGCCAGCTTCTGCTGAATCTACGCCGCAGACAGGTGCCCCAGCGCAGCAGCAACCGCAGCAACAACCTGCGCCTGAACAGGCCGCACAACAACAAGCTGCACCTGCGACGGCTCAGCCAGCTACCAATGCTCCTCCAAACCCATTCGGTCAGAGCCAGAACAAGCAGCCCTCGTCGTTGCCCAGCAAGCCCCCAGCCGGTAATGCTTCTGGCCTTATGCGAGCACTGACGTCCGGACTGCCCGTCGCGCGAGGCGGCAGGGCCGGCGGCCGCGGTGGGTCGCAAGCGAATACTTTCGGTCAGCAACAGGGACAACAGCAACAGGCGCAAGGTCAGGCTCAAGCCCAGCAGCAAGCTCCTAGCCAGCGCGGCTCTGGTCTACCCCGGGGTCGTGGCGGACGCGGAGGCCATGGACGCGGCGGAAACCAAAATGTACAGCCCACGAATGCCGCTCAGCAAGGACAGGCTAGCCCAGGTCGCTCGCTGAATGCCGGTGCTCGCCAGTTCGTCCCTCAGGGCAACAAGCGTGCTCGCGAGGATGGAGAAGCTGGAGGCGAAGGAGCAACCAGTGGAGGAAAGCGCATGAGGGGAGGAGGTCATACCCGGGGGTCATAGGATCTAGGACAGCGTGAATTGCATTTTTCTTTCATTTTTCTCATGTACTTTATGTCTAAATGTGTCTGCTGGGGTAGGGTAGATGTTCTATGCAACATCAGATTTCTTTTGTTATACACATATACGTGCATTTGTTAAGTAAGATACATCGAGACTTAGCAGGGTCAAGAACGCGCACAAGATAACATGATGCTTGCTTGTTGGTAGCCATGCATATCAACTGGGTATAGAGCAGAAACAACATATCCAGCAACCTATCCATCCACTTTCTAAATAAAAGAAGAAAAAAAAAATAGAAGAAATCATCTCCTCCTCCCCCCAATCAATCTAACCAACGCATCCCTCTCCCTTTGCAACACCATCAACCTCGCCTCCTCAATCACCCTCCCCTCCAAGCCCCCATTCCCTTGCCCCCCAGCACCATTCCCACCAGGCAAAACCACCTTACTGGGCTCCACCCTCCCCACAGCCCTCCTCCTCCTCCTCCCTTCCCCCCAGACAACCATCCAATCTGCAATCCCATCCCCATCCCCAACCTCAACACCCGCACACACCCGACAATGCGATCCCACCACACTCCGCCTCCCAATCACCGCGCGCGCCTCCACACTACTCGAACTGTGGATATGCGCCCCCGGAAGTATCTGTGCCCCTGGACCAATGGTCACGCTATTGGAGATGCGGATGGGAAGAATCGACCCTTCGTCTTTGCTGGCGATTCCGCCTGAAGTCGTAGATGTTGTGGATGTGGGTGTGGGCGCGGATCCTATCACACTCTTCTCGCTGATTATGCATCCGTTGCCAATTATCACGGGCCCTTCGTAAGAGTAGATTCGTGCCCGGGGGTGGATTATTGTGCTTGCCCCGATGGAGATTGGGTGTGAGCCTTGAATTAGCAGGCTTTCGGAGATGGTGGCGCTGGGGTGGGCGGTTATGGGGGTGCGGTGGTGGTGGGATGGGGACGGGGGTGCACGTTGCTGGGAGTGTTGGGTGTGGTGGGAGTGTGGTGTGGAGGGTGGTGGTTTGAGGTGTGTTGATGATGATGATGATGGTGGTGGTGGTAGAGTTGGGTGGTGTTGTCGCGGGTCCATTTTTAGGGTTGTTGTTTTGCTGTGTGGTGTGTGTGGTTGAAGAGAGGAGTTGATTGAGAGTGTGGTGTGAAGGTTATGGTAAGTAGGTAGGTGATAGGTCTGTGTAGTGTCTGTCTTGGAAGTGTTGTGGTTGCGGATGTTGTGGTGGAAGGTTGATTGATGTCCGCGGAGGTGAGTTGTGGAGACCGGAGACAAGACTGGCCCGTGAGTAGAGGAAGAACAGCACCATAATGTCTTACAAAACAATCACTATTTATGATATATTGAAAGCACTGCGCTTGCAATGTATACTCGTAACTGAAGTATATAGTCATCATCTATCCCAACCGGGTATCTAGCATCGTATCTAAATAATCTAAGTGAAATCCAACAAAACGCCAACACCATATCTACAGCCCGCCTCTACAACTCAAAACACACACTTCACTCTTCATCCCCATTCTCTGCCTCCCCCTCCTTGCGCTGCTTAATCCCATTCCTCTTCCGCCACGCCCAAACGCCCCGATCCACCTCCTCCCTCGTCATCCCATCCTTGACCAAACAGAAAGTCACCCCCAACTCGGTCTCAACATTTCGATTCCTCGCCTCATCATCAAAGAACAGCATCTCTTCATACGCCACCCCGCTCGCCTGCTGAATGCGCGAGAAGTGCTGCGTCTTGTTCGCTGGGAAGATCTGCACGTAGTCGAAGTAATCCAGTGCGCGCACCGACTTCGTCTTCGCGGCGGGGTTATCCGAGAACGTAGGAATGATGTGCAGAGCTTTGAGCATGTCACGGGCCAGATCGGGGGTGTGAGTGCGCGAGGCCAGAGCGAGAGGGATGTTCTTGCTTTTACAGGCGTAGACGATGGAGGAGACGGCGGGGTAGAAGGCGAACGACTCGTTCCAGCTGCGGGAGAAGATGGTGAGTTATATGGCAGTGGTTTTGCTTGGGGCTTCGGGGACATACCGATCCGTGCAGCGGGAGTTGTTGTCGCGGGGTTTGATTGGGGCGCTGACGTGCGTGTCGACCCAGAATGGCCAGAGTGTATAGTCGAGATCAAAGGCGATCAGTTTCGGGAGCGGAAGGCCGTCGTTGAAGGTGGCGGGCGAGATGGAGGCATCTTCTAACGGTTGGGTGTTGGTTCTCTTAGTCCGCATCATGATTATCTGATTCTAGGGGTGATTCTGGATCGACACGCTATCTCCTTTTTATGGATCTTGTTAGAAGGGGAAGAAGAAGTGAATGGTGGAGGTGAAGGTGAAGGTGAAGGCAAAGATAGCGAAGATGGATGGATGATGAGGGGTCACGTGTGGGGAAGGGGATTCACCAGACAGAGGCATCTTCGAGTAAAACATCGATTCTACGTGTTGATACTTGTTAAATCTACCACACAGAAATTAATCATTATTATCATTATTATCAGTAAACTATTATTGTGGACTCGCCCGACAAGAATTCCGCTGATCAGTGTCATACAAAGACCAGGCTATCTGGCCGGCAGACCTCCCGATTCTGAGTCAAGCACCTTCATTGAATAGTCACTCATACAGTGGCTCTCCTTTTTAGACTTTCAAGTCATATGTCCTGCGTTCTACATTCTGCGATTTGGATCTCCTGTTCTGCAGTTTCCATTTTTACCCTTCATCGTTTGCGATTCAGGACACGTTTAGCTGGCTGGGATTCATCATCCTCCCCATGCTGTAGTTGAAGCATCCCAGCGTCTGGAGGAGCTTCCAAATTTGTTGGTGCTTCTCGGCACCTTGAAATGTCTGCGCGTATTCAAGGGCTTCCCAGCTAGCGGCATACATTAGAATGCAATTCTGCTGATGAGTGTCGAGGATTCCATCCGCGCCGACGGCATAGGCAATTGTTCGTCGCCACACCTTAAAGGGAATGTTGAACCGGCACACGCGGTTTTCATCAAGGTCCTTGTTCCTTGTACGTGTGTTCGGGGGCGTTGCAGGAGGGGTTGACATCACTTCAGTCGGGATAGCCGCTCTCATCGGTGGGGATGGTTCATATGCCTCCTGGAGGGTGGGAAATTCGGAGTCGAACGCTTCTGAACGGGAGTAAAGTGGGCCGGTGCGGTCCTCAGCCTCTTCAGGGGCAGCTTCGGTGACCGGAGGGCCCATGTGCGCGATGTCTTCACCTGGATACGCGTATGCACCAGTATTAGGTTCAACAAACCGCACACGAGTCCGGACACGAGGCTCGACGAATTCCACATGAACGTAGTATGGGCCATCAGATGAGCCGTCATTATCTTCGCTCCACTCCACCTCTTCCTCGCCTTCGTCCGCGGATTCGTTATTCTCGTCATCGTCACCTCCCACCATACTATCCGATCTCGGATGATCGTCATCATCCAGCAAGATGGCCCGGGAAATGAGCATCATTTTCAGTGCGGTGCTCCAAAGTGTGCTGCTATGCACTCCCTCTGTCTTGATCGCCTCAAGTTGAACGCGCTTGCAGAGACGGGTGTATTCAAGGTTTAGCTCATTCTTAGTCTGGTTTGCGGCTACCTCGTCATGGTCTTGTCCTTTGTTTCTGCCGCGGCTGGCATACTTCTCTGTGCTGTCATTCTCGTTGCCCATATTCTGCCCTTCATGCTCTGTATCGGACATCACATCACGAAGGCTTTCTGCCACCTCCAGTAGCCGCACTGTGTATGGCGGGAGATCATTGGTAGGGCGCCAAATTATGCTCTTGCACAGGGGTGCAGTTTGAGGCAGAGTCACAGACTTCCCTGGAGGAAGAAAGTCGAGTTGGTGCTCCGGCGTTTGTTGTATTCTGATCATGCTTTCCAGATGAAGGGCGCTGGTATTGGACAGTCCAATCTCCGATAGGACGAGATGAGGAATTGAACGCAGACCTCGAGTACAAGTATACTTTATCAAGTCAGCCGTATCGATTTGTGTATGGCCTGAAAGGGTCATCTGTTAGTTTCAAATGCTTACCTAGACGAGGAAGCCGTGCGTGCACTTACTTTTCGGACGAGCCTTTTTACCCTTACTAGGCGACCTTTTGGATCTCTTGGGCTCATTTTCTTTGTCCGACAACTTCATTCTAGCCGTATCCTCGACTAGACTACTTTCTTCTTCAATGTCAGAACCATAAATGTCTTTAGCATCACTCGGAAGCCAGTCGAGGTCACTCTTGAGGTAGACCCGCGCAAAGTGCTCGAGGCCCAGACAACCGAGGGGGTTGCCACTTAGATCAAGCTTCTTGAGCAGGCAACAATGCTTGAATGCCTTGAGGAAGGCCTCCCACTTTTCGACATCTTGCGCAGTCTCGATGTGAAGCTGGTTCTTGGAAAGATCCAGTTCCCGAAGGTCACCCTCTGATAAAGTGACTACCTCTGCTAATTTAGCCAACGACTCCACAGTGAGCTGGTTACCTTGCAAATGGAGCTCAGTGACTAGTGCTATGCTCTTGGAATGCCCGGCATGTTTGTACTTGATGCACTCGATCAAAACATCGATGAACTGCTTGAAGCCCTCATCCGTCAGTTCTTTCCCCGTAACATCGATTTCAAGAACAGGGTCCCGCAAAGCCGCCTCATGGCTTGTCGACTTATTGCCATCTTCAGGCGGGAATCGCTTTTTCTATAAGCAGTCGTCAGTCTAGTTCACTAGTATTCAGGCCACTCCACTGCCACCTACCAGGCTAGTCCAGACGGCCTGGCCCGCTTTGATGCCTCTAATCTTTCTCTACGGAACAAGTTATCGTCAGCCTCTCTTCTCTAGAGCTATCATGTGTTGATACTCAATGGAAGGACTTACGCCAAGGTAGTTGAGCTTCCCCATCTTGAGGAGCGACCACGAAGGTACAGTGTGCAATTTCTCTGATCCCAAGTTAGCATGCCTGCTCCAAGAATACCGACGCGTCCAAGATAACGAAAGTGATAAAATTGAGTAGAAAGGGATACTGTGCCCAACTATTCGCCTAGTGGAAGTCAAGTCATGATGCAGTGAGGCGTGCGGGCGCGTCACCTGTGTCAGAAGGACACTATCTCGAAGACAAAAAGACAGGAACTGTGAAAGAAGGATCATATCCAATCACATACCTGACTATTGATGTGCTTCGAAGTTAATTTCGTTATGTTGTGATAGATAACTCGTCGATCGACTCGAAGTTAGAAAGCAGAAGATTGTTAGTGGATGGGAAAGAACTAGATCAGTGAAGAAGAATGCGTCAACAGCCCTATATCGAAATCTATACCGATCAGCACTAGCGTGAAACACTGACTGTGTGTTTCTGCACTGTTCCATGAACTCGCTAATGCAGAATAGGAAGAGTCTAGAAAGAGTGTTGGAAGACGTGGAAGCGGAAGATGTGAGACATGAAAGTCACGGACAAAGCTAAAGGATTATAAAAAGTAGGCCTGGTGGTGCGTGACATTCAACGCGTTCCCTTTTTGGGCCTTCAAGGGCTTTCACACCTTTTCTCATTCACTTTCACATTGCGATGGCAACTTATGCTTTGGAGCACAGAAGAGCAAGTGTGTGTTCTTTTTGTCCTCCTTGAGCAGTATGTAAAGGGCTTTTTACGGTGTTTACCCCGTGTGGGAGCCTCAGCAGTGGTTCACTGTACTAATACTCACTTCTGTATGGCAATCTCCGCACATTCTGACAACATTCAGTTGCCTACTATAGTACCAGAAGTGCTTGAGAAGGGAGGAATGTGAACGGTCCCATATCTGCACCGTATGTTGAATATCACACAACGCAGTCTAGCTATTAGCCTCAGAACAAATTGATAATATCCTTGAACTCATGCAGTATAGCAGGGTCAATTTCCTCCCAACTTGCGGGAACCCCAGCTCCTTCATCCGTGGTACCACTGGGTTGGAAAGAGCTTGGACGAGTAGATACAATGTCTTTGTTCCTCTTACACCTCTTTCTATTGTCTTCAGCAGTCGTAGTCAAGAGAACCTTCCGTTTCTTCCCATGGGAATCAGCAGGAGTGGCTTTACGGCAGTTAGGTGTATCATCCTGTTCGTTCGAAATCATCTCATTGATCTCCGTGGCAGTTGAATTGATAATATCAGCCTTACCAGAGCCTTGTGGTGGTTGAATTGACTTTTCCTGGCTGGCTTTAGGTGTGGAAACCATATCCACCACTGGTGGCAATTGATAATTGTGCCATCCATCATTATCACTCCAGTCTTCTGTAGTCATGTCTATCTTCATGTTGTCTTCGGTAGTTGGGGGTGCAAGATTCTGGTCTTTCGATGATGTTGCTACTAGGGGCTTTCCGAGCAGCAGGGCGGACGGTGAAGGGAAGTCGCTGAAGCTGTCGTTTCCGTAGTCACTTGAGGATTCAAGTAAGTTCTTTGGGGCTGGACAGCTGGAGCCAATTTCTGGCTTATTGTTGTTGTTGTTAGTCTCTGTGTTGCCTGAGGATGCCTTGTGTGTTGAAACTGGGCTTTCTATTCGGTGTCTGTATGCTTCGGAATTAGAAGGGTTACTCGCTTGGGTGGTAGTCTCCTTCTTGGCTATTGTTGCTGGAAGGGTTTTCTGATTGAGTTCCCTTGTCTTCTTACCCTTGTCCTTGTCATCGTCGCCAGATCGCTTCTTGTTTGCTTTGGGTGGCTTCTCGAGTCCATCTCGACAGCAAAAATGCTTACATCTATCTACAATTAGTTGTTTTCCTTTGAACATGGGAAAGTTTGCGATACCTTGTCTTATCTTTGCACCGATGGTTGCAAGCCCATCGACCGTTGTCAAGTCTGACAGCCTCTGCTGCTTCAACTGTTTGATGGTTGCTTTCAATTGGGTCCTCGCTCGTATTTCTTAGATATTGTACTTTGTCTACTGGCGGTTCTGGCAATTTGTCGACGAAAGACCACTTCTCGGCTTGGTCTGCAGATAATCCGGGTCAATCCGACAAATACCTATCCCACTACAAGCATTTCGACTTACCATTATCTAGGAAGTCCCCGAAGAACAGATCGTCACTGTCCCAAAGGTCGATATTTCGGGCAATGAATTTGGTCTGGGACGTGTCATTACTGCGTCGGCGAGAGATGTTAGATTTGGGCCTCGCCGACACTGAATCGGACGGAGACTCTCGCTGAGACGGAAACAAGCTTGCGGGAATATCATGTCTCAGCTGTGCGGATCGCATAGTTCCAGCTATGGTCGTCAGTAGTCATCTACATGATGGTCAAGGGCATTCCTGGATACCGATATCGTCACACATTGCATAGCACGTCACAGATTGATCGGCGCTTTTCAACTCTGCGCTAAAGACAATATCTTGGCCTTTGGGCATCTTACAGGCACTATATAGAGTGAGCCTCAATGAAATGTGCTTAACATGCCGTCAGTAGTCCCAACCTTACGCGTCGGAAGTCGAGCAAACGACCATCTGAAGTTTCCGCCATGAAGCAGACGTACACGGGGCGTCGTTGGAAGTATGTCGGGCATTTCTCGTTCATGAAGGCGACTTCGCTTCTTATATTGATCTGAACACCAGTACCAGTCTTTGATCCCTGCTATTGCATCAGTAAGAGGTCTAGATGGCTTTTGGTACAATACCTTGCCAATCATCTTGACGGACACTCGAAGCTTGGGAAAATCCATAAGCCGCTCCAACAATTTCCTCCCGAACGGAGGATTTCTGCTCAAGATCATATCAATTTGATGAGGTTCACAAGCCTCCAGTGTCTCAATGCTAGTGATTCCTGATGACGCTAGTTTTCGAACAGCAACCACACCAATTTGCTCAATCTGCTTCATCTGGAGCGGGGAGTCATCCCAAACTTTGGCCCCGAAGCTCCTTGCAAGCTCCAGTGCATTTCGTAGAGTGATTGAGTCTTCAAGACCTACTTGGCAGTCTATTATACAGCGGATGAGCCTGTTGATGTGAGAAAAGACGAATGTTTTGTCCTGTTTAAAAGTGAACCTGTGCTTTTGGAATGGTTCGCCATCTGGCAAATCAACAGCACCTAATTCGGACTGGATCAATAGCGAGATCTTATGTGCGGATATTGCGATATCCACGTTTACTGGAAACCGAATTGCGTTGGAGCGATTGATCTCTTTGTATAGGGACTTCTCGCCAGCCTTGAGGCGTATCTCACGGAATTCGTCTGCTCTCGAAATTACCGACAGCTATATAAACGGTTAGTCTTCGTATAGGCTCCGCGGTAAGAGATACTTATTCTTTACAATTTGGGATACGGTTGAGTGAGGCTTTAAAGTAAGCAAGGTCTTCATCGTCTCAAAGCGCACATAGTATCGCGCCATGGCATCACCAAACTTGGTGGATTTGAGACAATCGGCGGAGACCAGTCCACAATCCTGGAGAAGCTTGATATCTTTCTGACATATCTGCCGGAGCATCTCTTCCTCATCCTCCCTATCAGCGTCCTCTTTCAGTCGATAATATGTCGGATTTCTTCTCATCCTCACGAAGAAGAAAGTACCAGCAAGCCATCTGATAGCAGATTCAATGTCTGTGATGTTTCCAAGCCCGATCTCTGCATTTAGATGATCAGTAAGATTCAAATGGAAGCAGCTTTCAAGGCTCTCGGAGCCAGACACAAGCCTCTCATAGTGAGCTTCGCGTGCTTGTCTTGTCATTATTACAGCTGTAGCACTATCATCGAACTGTGGTCTGCCGGCGCGCCCGAGCATTTGCATGGTTTCTAGATCTGAGTATTCTTTGCAACCCCCTTCTTGCCATCCGACTGTCCCCTTTATGATGACAAGATGGCAGGGCAGATTTACACCGACTGCAAGTGTTGATGTGCAACAAATTATGCTGATTTGTCCACTGAGAAATCCTGTTTCAACCGAGCGGCGGTCAACTGGACCAAGGCCAGCATGATGAAAAGCTACGCCAGCAGCAATTGTGGCTAGACTGGATTAGCCAGTTGCTCTACCAGAATGTAAGGGAACATTTGGTACTTCTCAAGTCCACATTTTGCACTTCTATAGGACTGCCTGGTCCCTTCCATAACTTAGCAGGGGGATTGGACATGGTCCACAAGCGTGTAAGCTCCTTCGCGGTAGCAACGGCTGAGTTCCTCGTGCAGCAAAATATCATTATTGGCTTCTTTCGAGAATGAGATGATATAATGTCTGCAAGCCTACAGAAAAAATGTCAATAGCGGAATCTGTGTCTTTTGAGGATCACTTACTTAGAGGTGCACATTCTATCGAATGCAAAGTCGTTGGCGTGCGACTGGTAGCCGTACACGAACTTCTGCAACTTCACAGGGCGAAAGTCTTCCCCAAAGTGCTCTCTGTGGGCAGGCACATGCTGATTTACTGGGTCCCTACCTATCCAAGTTGCGATGTCCTCTGAGTTTGGAACAGTAGCACTCAGAGCGACAAAGCGAACGTTCGACCCGTTTGCTTTCATGCGGGATACGACAGCTTCTAGGGTTGCACCGCGAGCTTCCTTGAGGATATGGACCTCGTCAATGAGGAATAACCTGACGAGCTGCATTAACCGGGCATGATCCTTCCACTTTCGCGTCATGCTGTCCCACTTCTCGGGTGTCGTGATAATAACTTGGCTGTTCTGAACACTCCTCAGTTGAGTGTGGTCTGTATCCCCCGTCAACTCTGCACATTGCAGCCCTAATGTATTGAATTTTCTACTCCAGTCTCTGAACTTCTCAGAACAAAGAGACTTGGTAGGTGCCTGGTATATAACCTTGAACCGTTCGTCTTTGAGGCAGTTGAGTAATCGACAAATTGCCAGTTCCATTATAGCGGTCTTCCCACTGCCCGTGGGTGCGGCAAGGACAATGTTGCTATCGGTCTTGTAGGCTGATTGGAAGCATTTTGATTGTACGGCATTAAATACGGGGAACGGAAAGATTGACCGATATTTATCTGGGAGTTCATGCACAGATACGAGGACGATTCCTCGAATTGAAACCGGAAAATGTTGCTGGAAAGGGCCTCTCTGCCGGTCTTGACGGACAACTGACGATAACTCAGCAGGGTGGGAAAGTGGTATCTCACAATTGGAGAAATTGTGAGGATCAATGTTGTCCTCGAAGTCATGTTCAGGAGCATGTGCTTCCAATCTCCCAGCTCGTCTTCTTGTCAGTGGACTAGATGGCGATCCTACACCCGTATCCGGAGAACTAGAGCCGAAACTCTGACGAGGAGTGGCATGAGGTCCTGCTGTTGTGTCAAGCCATGTTAGCTCAATCCTTCAGGGCTGAGCTCCGTGAACCTTATATCAAGCATGTATCCTGACCTTGAAAGAAACGAGAGACCCGGTTATAGTCTGTTCTTTGGGAAGGCCTGGACAACGAGCCACGGTCTGCAACAGAGCCCACTGTATAAGGACTTTGCACTTGCTCATCTAATCGAGCCAGAAGTTCAAGATCTAAGACTTGAATGGTTAGCCTGATCTAGGCATTCTTAGATGTGACTGTGGGGTAATTGAGCGGCATACCAAAGGCATCCAGCTCTAGATTTTCATCCCGAGAAAACAACTGCAGATTGGGCTGATAACTACTAGAGCCCTCTCTGGGTAGTCGGTTGAACAAAGGTTCCTGTTGTGCACCTTCAACTAATCTTTGATCAATGACGGCACTTGGGTTTAATCGACTGGGAGTAGGGAGTTGAGGAACGGCCCTACGCTTATAGGGAGCATTCCGGCGGGTTTGGGGGTTTGAAGAATCAAAACTGTGCCGCATGATAGATAAAGGAGAATCCTTGGTTGATACGATGTGCAAGACGCTGCCACGCCCACATTTACCACGGATAGGCGAGAGGAAGGGAACCAGAACTGGGTAGATGGGGAAGGGGAAAGTCACCCGTTATGCACTAAAGCACGTGGGGTCTTCTACGAACAGCATACAGCAAGCGGACAGAGGGCAAGGTAGATGATACATCATGTAGCGATTGAACCAAGGTCTTTATAATTTGTCAGTCTTCAATTC